TTGATCCCGTGACGCGGCGCGGGTACATTAGCGCGTTTATATATTCTCGAGAGAGACGTCTGCGTATATTGCCAGCGAGAATCTACGATGGGTAAATAACGAGCGATGTTTCGGACCCGGGGAAGCATTTTGTTTCGGTAAACGTTCCCGGTACGGCCACGCGGCCCTAAATCGTAGCGAGACGACGGCTCGTAGAGACCGACGGTATCCTTCGGAGTTTACGACGCTTGCCGCCGCAAGCCTCGAACGAGGAAAAACTGTTTTCTCTCTCTCTCTCTCTCTCTCTTTCTCTCTGCATCGTGCCGCCGTGTAAATATTCATTAGACGACTCACGAGACGGTCTTCTTCTTCTGTATTCCTATTCTCTTGCCTCTGAATTCCCGAAGACACAGACGTTTCTGGAGGACGATCCATGCGCGAGCGAGTGTATCTGAAACTGCGTTACACTAATTTTCGAGAATGCAAGTTATGTTGTTCAATTTGTGTGTGTGTGTGTGTTTTGCGTCTTTGCGCATTTCTTTTGAAAAAATGATTTTTTTTCTCTGTCTTGCTTTGTGGAGAAGTTAATGTCTTCTATTTTGGAGATATCAACTTCTTTTTTTATTTCTCTGCGATTTTCAACAACGTATTTTCGCCTAATGGCTTGTGCTGCACATTTTACCGTCTAATTAGAGCCAAATTCGCGCACCGCTCGCAGTCACGTGCATTACCACAATTATGTCGTGATTACGTGGTATGATTACGCGGGTTTGTATTACGGTGCGATGTAATGCGTATCACGGGAGCTGTTCGAAAGAGCTTTCGAACGTGGACGGATTAATTGAATGCAGCATTTGCTGCATGTTTGCACGATTCCCCGAGATACAGAAGAATGTCATAAGTTTTGAAATAAATGCGAAAAAGAGAATTTATCAAAGTGTATTTCTCGAAGTTTAAAATTTCGACGAACATTGTCGATCATACGTACTTTTTTCCGTCAATACAGTTTTACATTTTATTTTTTTTAACCATAGATGGAGGATTTAAACATAAGATGGAGATTACAATAACAAAATGCATGAAATTAAAACAGCGCAAAAATAAATTTTGTTGCGCTAAGCTGTGTTGGAATTTATATCCCGAACTTATGTCGTATCGTTGTGTCGACTCTTTCTGTATGTAGTTCTCTCAGCATATATCGGTAAGTGAAGTGCTCGGACAACATACACACGAAGCTGGAGATAATTTTAAACCACTTGTATTTTCATTATTTAGAGAGAAAAAGAGAGAGAGACAGAGAGAAAATTACGTTTGCGGTCTTGGAACAAGACTGTAATATAACAATAGTAATTAGCGTTTATAAGTGCTTTGTTAATTGTTGCAATTAATTACGAGAACAGTGTTTTTATATCCATAAAAGAATGTACAAAATACCCGCGTGTAAATTTACATTCAGTTGTAATATAATAAAACAATCACCGGAAAGAACAATAATTTCAAATAAATTCAAATAATTTCAAATAAATTGATTTATTTATGCATATTTTCTCGAACGTATAAATTAACGATGAAAGTACATGTTACTATGTGCAATTTGCATGAAAATTGCAAAAATAATAAAATTTGACAAAAAAGTCATTGTGATGCTATTTCCGACGCATTTTTCATAATTAATGCGAACAACACAGAGAACGTAGACAAAATGCGCAGCGCGTTCGATTTTCAATTTGCGAATCCAACGCGTTTTCTGCCGATGCGCCAGCCAACTGACCCAATTTCGCGAACTTCGAATTCGGGCTGCACGGAATCGGGTAACGATAATTCCAGCGATTCCTCCCATCGCTGCTTCCCACCTATCGTCTCGTCACGCTACACTCGCGAATACCTTCAGAATGATCCTCCGACCGTAGGATAAACTGAAATCCGCCGACTGGGTTAATGGTTCACTCAAGCACAACCGGAATTCTCAGTCGCTATAACTCGGGCAGAGATTAATTCGCGACGTCGCAAAGTCAAGCGATTTAGATGTGGACTCGTGAGCACTTCACTCGCGAACATTTTCGCCAGTTAGAAAAAAGTTCAGTTTATATGTACAAACGTTGATCGTTATCTCGATCGCACTACGTCTTCGCGAGAATGTATATACATTTCTCGCGGGTACACATTTTTCTCAACTATATTCTTTTTTTGGCTAAATCGGAGTAAAATTCACGATTAATCGTGTATATTCAGCTAAAAAAACTAAACTGAATAATGTGTATTTAATCCTAAAAGTGTGCCGTAACAAATTTTCATTTAGATTGAATTTTTTAATAAGAAAATAAGATCTAACTTGTTATACGTCATTTAAATTTATAAATAAAAATAAATGTGGTCAATTTTTTCCAATATATTCTTTTGATTATAAATCAACAATATTTTGATGGTGTAAAACGAATTTACCTGAAAATAGCTACTGTATGATGATGTGACACATGTTGGCGTATTACTTTGCCTTATGCTACTCCACAAAGAATACTCATATGATAAACGACTTTCTGTTTGGTTGCTTTACAAACTACACACCCACATTCAGGCGCGATGGATTGTCACTGATGATCCACGTTGTCTCGTTAAGCAGCCAGAGAAGAGGCTATGATCAAAAGCTGAGCGACCGAGCATACATACATACATGTAACAGCGAAGATTTGCGGTTTGCAAGAGACGAACATTTTCTTCTAATCCTCTATAGGGGAAAAGTGGCATGAAAGAGCCATCGTCGTTTATTTAGCCGCAGTTTCTGAACAAATCACAAAAGGTTCAGTTTTTATACAGCAACACTAGATGTATGTCACCTACAAACATTTGACAGATCATTAGAAATAAATAGTGCCGATGTATCGTATTAAAGATTTTGTCACTAAAAAGCAAATTTTTGGGTTTTATTTCTTTGTTTTTTAACATTCTCGTGTACAGAAATAACACCAAACTTATCGTGATTTTATGTACGTATTTACTTTTCTAATGATGTAAATATCTCTCAGCAAAGCGTTTATTTTATAGTGTGTTTGGAGAATATAATTTCTAAGAGAAAAAGTTTTGAAAGAGCCGGACTATAGTGTAATAAAAGGAGCCTGATAAAAAAATAAGGAGTCAAAACAAAGAAAGAATACTGTTATGAAAATGACCAAAAAATCAATAAAACTTCTTAATAGAAAATCTAGTTCTGAGTAGTGAATGTAGTAACGAATATAGAATGATTTTTCTTCAGATTCTGACGGAATATTATCACAAATAAAAAAAAAAAGAAAAATATAAAAATAAAGATAATACTAATAATTGTATAGTGTGCCATAAAAACTATAAAAAGAGTAAGCAAGTTGGCTGGTTTCAATGTAAACATTGTTCTGATTGGATACACGAAAAATTTGAGGCGCTAAATTAGTTTTGTCAAAATTGCTTTTAAAGATACCTAAAAGATTTATTAGATAAAAAGAAATAAAGAAATGGCAATAACAAGCTACCACCAGATGTTCGGGTAAATTCTTTTATAATTCGAAGATTTTAAAAAATTTTAACAAACGTTTCGATCCACTATGGGATCTTCTTCAGTGTTTTAATAATAACTTACAAAAAAATAATGATCTATTCAAGATCATGAGAATATGGATAAGAAGAATATGGATAAGAAAAGATACGCTACATAAATATTTAGTATGAGAAAAAGAGAGGCGGAAATGGCAGTCATGTAACCGTTAGTATTACGAAACAAGACGCAAAACGTCCTCCCGCTTTGAATGTAACTGACAGACTGTGTGTGTGTGTGTGGTCAGTCTGTCAGTTAGCTTGTTATTGCCATTTTCTTATTTCTTTTTATTTAAATATTCAACAAGCTGAAAACATAATTAAAAGTTTTAGTTTTCTTCTCAATTGTAATTTTAAAAGTTCTCTTAAAAGTGTGATTAATAAAGTAAGAGAGAGAGAGAGAGAGAGAGAGTTACTTAGATTTAAGTAAAAAATACATGAAGAGTTTACATATGATGTTGGTTTTGTTAATTTTGAAGAGATTGTTTAATCTAAACTAGTTTTACATTTTTGTTAACAATTGTTCATTAATGTTCATTAAAAATTTGTTAATTAATTTTGTTTATTAACAGTCAAAGTTCTTGTTATAAGAAGTCGACTCTTTTATAACATTTGATGGCTCTTTTAATGCCATTATGTTATGAAAAAGCCAAATTTTACTTTTTTTTAAGTGGAAATATGTCTATTCTTTTTTAAGTGAAAATATGTCTAATCTTGTTTTTTGTTTTTTTTGTTTAGTATATTACATAAATGAATAAATAAACAACAAATAGGAACAATAAGCGTTATGTTTGATTTTTTAAATAGGTTTTTTTGACCCTTTACTAAAACTGGTTCTTTCATGTCACTCTTTCTATATTACAAGATATAAAACCAATCCAATTGTTGCAAGATATAGTTTTTTCTCCGAAATTAGTTTTATATCGAATCAAGACAGATAATATTAGCACAATAGAAATAAAGAAAGCATGGTTCTTTGTTTCGTCTTAAGAAAAGATTACATAAAACAAATACTGATATAACTGATCTTTTTCTTAGAACAAAACAAGTTTCGTAGAAATTCTAATGGAATATATGTGTACAAGATGAACGTATTTTACGGTTGTGTGAGAATAGATGAGAGAAACTGATAGAACATGTGGAAAAAGCGATTAAAATCAGCAAGCTTCATAGATACGAGCGAATAAAGCGAAGCACCTAATCTCGCGATCAATGCTTTTCCTATCGGAAGGTATTTGCACAATATATAGTCACAGTCGATTTAATTTAAATGTCTGGTCTCTTCTCTTAATCCTTCTCTTTCTCTCTCTTATGGAGAATCTATTATTCCGGAGCACGTTCGTCCTAGCTCGCGGATGATATACTCATGACGTGCTTCATTTGCACGTTGCGCACAGAACAACTATATTGAGAGAAAAGCGGCAGTTGCGCGGCTACATTCGTTCTCTTATTTACAGAATGGAGAATCGCCGCAGTATGTGACGGACAGACTTCGGCAATTCTCGGATCCTTTGGCAAGGTTTCAACCAATTAATGGTAAGTAGTATTACTCGCGTTCCATCCTGTGTATGGCTTGGTTACAAATTTAGATTTTTGAGGGAAAATGCTTAAAACCACGCTAATACTTTCTCTCTCTCTCCGCGCTTTCTTTGCTCCTGTAACAAAACATCTTACAGCGCGCAACCGAGACTACACCGAAAAAATTATATTCTTGTAAGTAGAAGATTTTATACTTAAAAAATCTTCTTAAAGATTTTAGATGATATTCTTCTGAAATTAAGAATATATTTTTTATTTAAGAATTATAGTCTTTTTTGATAGTGAGATATATATGTTTTTCTATAGAGGCTTTTTATATTCTAATCAGTATATATTCTTATCAATATTACTATTTAGAGGATTTTCCTCTTAAAATAAGAAAGTCTTCTTGGCGCCTATTTTAGTATAAAATATACTTAAAGTAAGTGGGATATCCTCAAAACAAGAATACAATTTTTTCGGTGTATAGAACTGGATAACGTCTATAAATTTTAATTGCGTCGATTCGTTCAATAGCGCTGCGTTGTAAGAATAATTATGTAAATTATCGTTACTATATGTGAAATAATATTTATATTTATGACATGTGTGTGTAGTGTCCACGTGAGATAAGGAAAATTTTTAAAAACCAAGAACGTCTGGTATTTCTTTCGTAACATGTGCATCTTTTCGCAACAAAAAAAAACAACGTCTAGCGATTAGCACACTGCGTACGCGAATTCTTGTCGCTCATGACTCGTCCTGTCGCGCAAAAAATCAACATCTGCATCACATAAGGCTGCATTAGTAACTGAAGATTGTGTAGTCGCACGATTCAAGAGAGCTCGCAAGATTAAATTCATGTTCGTTAATCTCGCGCACACGTCAAGTAAAAATAGAGAATATTTACGATAAATGCATTTTTTTCTGACGCTTGCACCGAATAAGCTTTTTGAGCTTAAACTTTGATGACAAAATTGTTTTTTAGAAAAAGAAAATAAAAAACAAAAAAAAACGAAAAGTATTGCACAAAGTTTTAAAAAAATTTTCTTTTGTTTTTCTATTATTATAATAATATCTTAAATTAATAATTTCAAAAAATATTAACAATGTTTTGGAAAAATATTATTGTTAAAAACATTGCAATTTATTGAAATTTATTTTTTCTTTGTCGAGGAGAAATAATAAAAAAGTATTAAGACAATTGACTATATGCATGCGTGGAAACAATAAGCTTTGTATGTCGAAAATGTTGTCTGCGCGGTGGCTCTCTGTAGGTCAGATATAAAAATAATTCATTCCATTTTGTCGGTATATGAGTCACGAGTGGTAGTGCGAACTCACTTAAAATAGTTTAACGGACAAAACGGGAGCGAGATAAGAACTGAAGAAAGTTCAAAATCGAAACTTCCTGTTATCCTAGACTGCTGTTCTATCTATCGTCGATGCACGAAGTTGTTCGTAGTGTCTTCAGAAGATAAGGTGACGTTGTATGTCGTAACGCGAATGTTTAACGTACACTTCGTCCAGAACTCTTTGCGTCTTACAAAGTAAACCGACGCGAATGATCTAAAATGGCGAGTTGCTCGATCTCTCTCTCTCTCTCTCTCGCTGTAGATGTATTTTTAAGTAGATTAATGTCGGACACGAGACGGAGCATTAAGCAGATCGGTATTAATGAGTTTTGTCACCCTTGAGTGACACTCCAGTCGCTGTTCGGTTACACTCGCCGCTATAGATAGCCCACCCATGCGCGCCTCTTCGCGACATGCAACATCTCCTTCCCCGCTGACTCGCGCGCAAAGACGATATATCGCGTAGATCTTTCGGTTTGTACACCGGTGGAAACTAATGAAATTATCCGCGGACTCTTTGCTAAAAGAGTAGCACGAGTTGGCGTGCGGAGTTTGAGTAATCGGACAGAGTGTCATCTCGTTGACATCGTGACGCGGGGAGAGAGAGATTTAATAAAACAGCATAAAATGCGACGGTACATGATACTGCACTTATTTGGTCGTGAAGTATCCAGAGAAAATTAAATATTTCGTAAATAGATTGAGAGAGGGTAAAATAAAAAAAAACAACTTATTAGTTTTATCACATAAAAATCGAAACAGTTATTTTACTAATCTATTTTCGACGAATCATATTGTTTGTAATGTTGTTCTAATCAATTTTCAATTAATTTTCAATTGATTTCCAATTAATTTTTGCTCAAAAATATTATTGCAATAAATATTTCTGCTTTGTATTATTAGGTAACCATTTGATAGATAATTTAATTATTTTAATAATTAGTTTTAATAATTTTTGACAGCTTTCTGCGAGAAATAAGTACTTTTTCCGTATAGAATTAGATAGGATCAGACTTGTCGGCCAAAATTTGCTTTGATAGCGAATAAAAAGATTGCTTGAAGATTTAATTCCTAAAAAAGGAATTCGGCACAAAGAGTTTCAGTATTGATATTCATGAGATATTTATTTCTCGATGCTGATTTAGCCTCTTGATACTCGAACGGTTTTACGATCTTACGCGTTTCAATTTAAATCTGATATAATGTAATCTCCATCTTACGGTAATTTACTTGCTTCTCTATTGTTTTTGCAAGTTAAAAGCCTCGTATATTGTCTCTAAAAAAAAACTTTGTTTTGACTTGAAGCGTCGCTCGCGCGAGCTTTGAGCGCTCTATTAAAACTTTGCACGATGCTTCGAAAGCGAAAAGGTTAAAAATGCTTTGTCGCGACTGCACCGCTTGCCCGCCCTTTCCGTGTCGCCAGTAAAACATATACATTGAGTAAGCCTTGATACTACGGAGGCAATAACCCTGCATGAAATTCGCATTCATATATAGCCAGTGTTTATTTGCGCAGCGATACCACTATACCCGTGAAAAAAGTGGAAATTTTTATTCCGTGTTTAGATTTCGTATATTTTCTTGCATTTAATGCGCAGAGAAATGTTAAAATGCTTTTATTTATTTGATATAAAGTGCTTTTAGAAAGATGATTGGGACATAAAAGCATTTAAAGTTTTGCTGAGAGCACACTCAGATTTAGACGGATATTTGATGTTTTGTAAATTGGTACGAAAACAATAAAAGCAATAAATCCATTGTACCGTTGTTACACGTTCAGTTTGAACTTTTCGCCAATTTCTACGTACCTACTTCGTTTTTTTCGATGGTTTTTCATCTAGCAAAAAACAAAATCTCTCTGAAGACTTTTTGAAGCGTTAAACGTATGCAAATCAGTTTGGTCAAAAGATGGCAAAAACAAGTATTTTTATATTTTATTATGTAAGAGATTAGTATCGACACAGACTGTATTTCCTGTATATCTATATCTTTCAAAACTTTTTATCTTTTTATCAATTAATTAGAGAATGTAATAGTCATCAATAAATTTTCGATAGCGTCTTCGTGTGCGATATTGGTATATTTATTTGCGATATTTACTCGTCAAGTTTCGCGGCGATTTATTTTTGACATTTATCAATTATCCGGTCCGCAATGTTGAGATTATTAATCCTCTTGCCAATAACCTGCGCTCAGTCGTCTTCTGACGATCGATTTGCCCGCCAAGTTTTCTCGATATAAGATACATGCGTTATATTGTTCTCGTTTGTTTTTTTCGGCGCTTCTCTCACACGCTTTTCTCGCGACGATGTTTCTCAAAGCGACGCATCGTCTTCGCGTTTGGAGGATAAATTATTCGAGAAGGCGTTGGAAAGGCGCGGCCCTATTTTCCAGTCGACCGCCTGCGCAATTTCGATCACTCGTACCGCCAAGAAGACTCGATGCCACCACAATGCAGGCACCTTGATTTTCGCAATCGATTTCTCCTTTTTTTCATCCTTCGAATCTTTACAAGACCTCTTCTAGAGTTAGATATTCTAATAAGTGCTCGCGTTCCGAAAGTCACGTTGTTGATTACGTTATAAATATATGACATTAAATGCAACTGTGTTTAACAGATACATTATATTTGTATCTTAATTTAAGTACATTATAACACTGTGTTTAATTTGATTTATATTCGCGTTTCTGCTTTGATTTAGCTTCTCTCAGAATGTTGCAAAATTATAAAAATTTAATTTAATCACTTGAAATCTATTTTTAACCAAATTGTGCTGCAATAACAGCGTCTTTTATATTTATACAAGTCATCAAGAGCGTTAAGAGATTTATTTCTCGTCATATTTACCATGTGTTACTCAACACTCATCTTCTCTAAGAGACACTTTCGTTTCTACGCGTGTCATTTATCCGCTCATAAACGCTGAAGGTTGCTCGTGTAAACGCCATTAGGGCCATCAAAATCAAGAGTCTCTTGATGCGCTCCGCCTACTCTTAATATTGTAGCAAGATGGAGCAGAAATATCGTCACACAAGTTGTTTGGTAACTTTCGTGACTGATTTCACATAGCTTTTTCATCAACGTTTTACGTGATATTATTCAAAGTAGAAAACTATGAAAATAAATGTCATTAAATAAAGAAAAATCACCTTTTTCTAAAAGTGGAAGAAAAACTGTTTAAGAATATATAATTAAAACGTAAACAACAGAAACTTTCATGTATCACTGTACATAAACGTGAATGTCCACGTGCGAACATCGCGAACTGCCTCTCAGGGTGGCGGTACGTTGAAGTAACTAACGGACTTACATATGTTCTCTATTAAATTATTGCGTTAATACGACTTTACCTTCACTTTGCAAGGAGAAACGCGAGAGATCGAAAAAGGACATTGAAAGAGAGGAGGAGAAGGAGGAGGAGGAGAGAGAGAGAGAGAGAGAGAGAGAGAGAGAGAAAGAGAGAGAGCGCGACCGGTACTTGGACATTTATCCTCGCGGCTATTTCCGTGAGACACTTGTAATGTTTTCGTTTTTCCCTCGCGTGCCGAAAATGCAACGGGATTAATTGGCCTACATTCTGAAAATAGATGAGCGCTACGATGCGTGCGTGTCTCGTATGTGCGGATATATGTGACTCGACACATCGTACGCACGTAAAAAAG